AGAGAGAGAGAGAGAGAGAGAGAGAGAGAGAGAGAGAGAGAGAGAGAGAGGAAAAAGGGGAGGGAGGAACAGGAGTGTACAATCTGGCATGACACAAAGAGAGAGAGAGAGAGAGAGAGAGAGAGAGAGAGAGAGAGAGAGAGAGAGAGAGAGAGAGAGAGCGGGAGGGAGAAACAGGAGTACAATCTGGCACTCTGAGAAGCATGACCATAAGAGAAAGACGACGCCAGTTTGACCATGAGTAACACTTCGTGTTTGCCTTCTTTTTTCACTTTTTTTTGGACACATTTGTTCCTCTAGCAGCCATGATGTGCTGAACACTTTTTTTTTTTTTTTTTTTTTATAAACACTCCCCTGGTGATGCGATGTGCTGAACATTCTGGTACTCTATCGCGGAAAGTTCACGCATTGACAAGTTGGTAAGCACTGCCAGTGCTACCGTCTTCGCCCGACTACAACGCCCAGTCATTATCGCCGTAAATAGACCATCCGTTGCCCCCAAATTCAGCTATAATGTCTGGCCGTTTTATTCGGGTGAAAACGATGTATTCAGCGAAATCATAGAAATGATAATACATTAAATAAATTTGGAGTAACGGTGTTGGTAATTTATGATTTATTTTATTATTTATTAACTTGGTTCCTTGGTCCATCGGGGGCTTAGCGGGGGTTTAGTCTTCCTCCCGAGTACTTTTTCAACGTGGTCACACGGCGGCCGTGAGATGTCTAGATCGGATGGCATAAACCTCTGCGTACCCGAAACCAAGTCTMCCCCCCCCCCCCCTCCTCTAGTGGGACTTAGCGCCGGGCCACATGATATTACAGTAAATTCATTGAATCTGGGATACGGAGAAGAAGCTCGAGGGTAATACTGTAAAATATAAGCTGCAAAAAGAAAAGAAATAACATGCAAAGACAGAAGAACCACCGAGACAATGGAGGAGGAGGGGGCGCGGGCGGACGAGGAAAGGAACAGACAAAGACGATTTCGATAGTGCAGCACATGCGGGGCTAAACATCCCTCCGTTTGATCCGATGACGCCAACGCACGGTAGGCACGACACACAGGCCTCGACGGCTGATTCACCGTAGCGTCTCTCTCTCTCTCTCTCTCTCTCTCTCTCTCTCTCTCTCTCTCTCTCTCTCTCTCTCTCTCTCTCTCTCTCTCT